TTTAATCGCCTTGTCTCTCGTTGAAGCAGGAGGCTCCATCGTGGAGTCGTCGGCCTCCAGCAGCCTGCGCTGTCTCTCCTCCATAGTGGACAGTATTTCTTCCGACGAGCCCAAACTGCCCGGCGTGGAGGAAGTGGTGGAGAAATAAATCCGGTTGCTCTGGTAGTGTGCTTAAGGGAGACGGAGCCCCCACCCCCTTCCCTCTAAACTAACTAATGAAGCCAATTAACACGGTGGAAAGCCCAGGCAGGGGCCTTGGTAAGGTCGAGGCAAGGTACACCTACCCACAGAAAACGGCTCTCGCTGTGTCGAGCCAAACAGACTTTCCCCCAATTTCTTTCCTCCTTTTCCCTCCCCTGGGTTTTGTTTTCTTTAAGTTGTGTTGCATAGACCACCCCTCCTCCTTCTTTTTTTTTTTTTTTTAATTTAAGATACTTACCTGTGTACCGGTGATCCGCTTTGTCTGAGACTCACCGGAAAGTTCATTCCTGTCTGAGTGAAGCTGTTGGTTGCGTTTCGTGTTAGTCGTATTTAAAGAGTTCCCGCCTCGTTTTGTTCCTGTAAATAATTTTAGTACTGTCTTTTCTTTTGTAAACATAACAAATATATATTTAAATGCTGGAATGTGATATTGTATATAAGAACCGACGGATTTCTGGGATTGTAAAATAAAGCTCTTTGTGTTACAGTGTCTCCCAACCCCTCGTAATTAACTAATAACCCGACCCCGGAGTTAAAACCGACTTCAGCGAGACCAAGCCCTGAAGAGTCAGACGTGTGTAGCTGTGACACGCCACGACCCGTGTGACTGGGAGGCAGCACTCGGGACAGATTTATTTTTTTTTCCCTTCTTTTTCTCCTCGGAGGAGCGTCTCTCCTTACCTAGGGTGTTCATTACCCGCCTCCCCCGTTGGCTCCCGGGGAAGCCGGGCAGGCACGGGTGGGTGCCCTGGCAGGCAGGGGTGGGCAATGCTCCCCTAAAATGTCCGCCGGTGCCGCTAGTGTGGCTCGCCAGGCAGGGATGCTTCTCCAGCCTTGCCCTGCACCGGGTGGGTGAGCTCAGAAAGGGGGTGCAAAGAGCCCCCCCCCCGCCCCGGTCCTTGAGAAGAGAGAGGCTCGGTCCGTCTCCCCTTTTCCTCTCGGTTCCGGAGGACTTGTCTGCGGGAGAACGGGTGGGCCTGCTACAGCGACAGGCTGGCACAGGACCCCGCTCCCCTGGGGGCTGCGGTTTCTTCCCAGGAAAGGTAACTCCCCTCCGCTTCCTTGAGCCTGAGGGGGGGGGGAGAGAACGGGGGTCCCTCAGGGAGGAAAGAGTTAAGCAGCCGAAAAGGGGTTGAGGGGGGTGGCGGGGGGGGTAACAACAGATGAAGCCTTTCACTCAATGATGTAAAAAAAAACAAAACCAAAAACAGCCTCGCTGAGGACGGCGGAGCGGAGCTGCTCGCAGTCACGGATCGTTTATACCCCCGGGAAGGGGCGACCACCGGGGGAACAGCTCGCTCTGCCCCACACAGACCCACGGGGCTGCTGGCCAGAGAGCTTGACCAACGCGAAGGGACTCTGCCTCAACTCTTTTAACCCTTGATTTTTTTTTTGGGGGGGGGGTTGTTTTCTGAAAGGTCACAGCCACGTTTCGGGAAGGTGTCCCGTCGGAAGGGAGAGGCAGCCCTCAGAGCTGGTCTCCCACCGCGGTGCCCTCCCTTTTCGGACCACCGAGGCCAACCTGGTTTTTAAACCCCTTAAGTACTCGCTCTAATTGCGGCGGCACGGCGTGATGGGCAGGTCGCGAGAGATAACGGCAGTTCCCCCCCCCCTTTTTCTGGTTTCAAACCCCCCCCCCCTTGCCTCGGGGAGCTCTCGGGCTCTTCGGGGAACGCGGGTCCTGGCGTGCGAGCTCTGCGTTTTGGCGAAGCTGGTCGCTTCTGTCGCGAAAGGGACTCGATCGGCAATAACAGAGCATATCCGATCGCGTTTGGGGCTCGTCGCATTCCTTAACAATTTCTTTCCGTCCCCGCCGGCTCAGAAAGAAGGGCTGCCTGATGCAGCACCGGCCGACCCAAGCCCCGCAGGACCCCCTTCCCGCAGCGGGGCAGGAGCGGGGTCGAAGCCCCCCCCCCAAAGCGCAGTGTCGGGCCGACAGCCGACTGTCAGGTTTGCCTTCAGCCCAGCATTAACCTCAACGCACTGGCCGGTAGGACCCCCGCGGCAGGGGCTGCTCCAGCCGGAGCGGTTGTTTGGTGGAAGTTTGCCTAAAGGAACTGTTTTGGGATTGGTGGGGGTTTTTTTCCGTTAAATAAAGAAAATACCTCCCGAGGAGACTCTCCGTGACCCCCCGTGGTTGCGGCTGACATGCCGGGCGTCGCAGTGAAGGTCCTCGGCGTGTTTGCAATTAAAATGTTTGTGTTCGATATTAATAAGGATAATCTTTACCTAAGTCCCCCAGCCAAAGCAAACAGGGCCGTGGAATCACAAAATCAAAGGGTAATAACTGGGTAAGGACAGGAGGTTTGCGATTTAATCCAGTCTTTTTTCCGGCGGGGCCACGCACAAACTCATCGACGTTTTTACACGAATGCAAGTGACACCCCCGTCCCCCCCCGGTCCCTCCGCCCCGCTGCCGTTTACTTAACGCGAGGAAAGCGGGCTGGAGCGCTGCTGCCGGGGGGGCAGAGCACCCTCCCCCCCCTCGCCCCTAAAGCCTTTTTTTTTTTTATTGTGCATCTTTATTTCCCTCCGTAAAACCGCCCGCAACCCAGAGAGGGAGGAAGGCAGCCGGCAGCGGGCTCAGCTTATTTTCGGAGGTCGAAGGCAAGGCGGGCAGGTGTCCACCCAGGACCTATTTCCACGGGGGAAAAAATTCCTGCTCGGATCGCTGCCGCCTTGGGGAACCCGCCCGATTTTTCCAGAGCTTCCACCTTGCTGTGGAGAACGACCTGGGGAGCGGCAGTGGGGGGCAGGGGAGGGAGGAGGTTGAAGAATTGAACCATGTGCTCGCTGGGCCGTCCCTCCGCCAGCAGCAACGAGCGACTTTTCCCAGTCTCAAGGCTCCTAAAAACCCCCTCGTGTCCCTTTGATCTCTCTTGGGAGTCCCGGGGTGCCAGCAGAGGCCAATGCCTTCTTCAGCTGTCTTCCACACAAATCCCTCTGGCAGGTACTAATGTGTTTACTTAGGTGCGCACCGTTCCCAGCGCTGGGGGGAACCAAACGTTTCTCACACGGCTGGAAGACCCCCGCCCCCCCCCC